AAGTGGGATTTGTGGTGGACAAAGTGGCGCTGGGGCAGGTTTCTCCGAGTACTTCGGTTTCCCCTGCCAATCTTCATTCCACCAATTGCTCCACAATCACCCTCACCTATCATCTGGGGCTGGTACAATAGGCCAGAAGTGGCCGCAGTACAAGGGACGTAGTCCCACCCCACTAGCAATAAAAAAAGTTCTATGTTATGCCTAAGAAACAACCAACAGGAAGACAAGGCCCGCAGCTGCTCTCCACGTAATCTTATATTTTCCGCCAATATTTCTGCAAAGCTTTTGATGATAATCTAGGGTTGTGTGACTTATTCACAGTTCAGGTAGGACCCGTGACTGATGTGACATGGTACGGCCGACGCGCGACCAGCATCAGGTACTCCCATGCAGTACGCATGCCCGCAGAATGCACTTGCTTGCCAGGTTCCGAATTTAGTTCAGATTAGGAGATAAGACTACAATAAAATTAGGCCATGCCATAGCTCAGGTAGTTAGTTGCCGATTTACCACCTCAGAAGACTCAGTTCTCTCATAGGTCGTGTCATATGGGATTTATGGTATAGTGAGTAGCACGTGTTCAGGTTTCCTCCTAGTGCTTGTTTCCCCTACCAATTTTTATTCCATCAGATCAATAGTAGCTGGTGTATCAACTGGACTCGATCGCTCTCCAACACATCAATTATAAATAAAGTTAAAATTACAAAGCAAATTATATAACTGTTCCTTGCTGCTGACCCATTCTGTAGTTCTTCAGTGTCATTGTGTCTGTTGGTAACTATATCTGATTCCGTGACGCATCCGCTGTTCCTACGGTTGGTCTCTCCATAAGGGCTGTTGTCCTGATGCAAGTACATACAACATTAAGCGCTATACGTTGCATTCTGGTAGTTTATTGCTTCAAGTGGGCGTATGTATAAGGTGTCACTGCGCTGTTTTCTGTTTCCTACCGCTAACCTGACAGAGAACACGCAAAGATATTGTGAAATTTACTCGCATTCATAACAATATGTACGGTAGAGACGTGATGTGCAAGTGTTGGGGTATAAATTGTGAGACCTAAGTCCTAATTCGAGTTCATTCTTTTCTAAATTGGAAGACACTGCTGAAACTGTGAATTTTTCGAAACTAACTTGACATAAAAGGAGCTAAATTTACATATGAGTCTACATTCAAATGAGAGAGCGTTCCAAACTAAAATGTAGTGAACTAAACCGCTATGATATAAACAGGAAATGAAATTTTTTAAAAACTAAGACTTTCTCGTGCTATAAAAATATTTGAGCATATTAGCCCTTAGACACAGAAAGGAAATCGATCTAAAGCAGATTACATTTTTACGCAGTTTTGTGATTGAAATAATTAAATTTCTCTTCGCCCTTTGAAATTATGAAATTGGAAAGACGAATGGCAGCTTCCCGAAATTTCGGATTTGAATATCACGTGGTTTACATGTCGTATGCCTTCGAGAAAAAAAAAACGCTGTAAATTAATGTGTTTCAGAATTCTGGCGACCCCGTCATAGCTGAGGCTCGGAAGTGCCGGCATCAGCATGGACTGACAGACGGTAAGTGTAACAGCACTACACATACAGCTGCCGTCCTCCTGATATTGCCTACACCCACACAGAAGCATCTGCTCTCTGGGCGTTTACCTTTTTCTGCGGCCTCGCTCCTACACAGTCAACATTTCTGTGATATGGGGATGTGTAGATCCATAGATAGATACCAATATTTTGGAGGAACTTATCACCTCCATCTTTAGGGTAGAAAAGCCAGCCGTGCTGTCAGAGGGAGAGTAAGAATCGGGGTCCCGGTTCATTCCATCTTGATCCCGTGACGGCTTGAGAAGATCCCATTGCATTTACTAGACGTGACAGACTTACTTCTTATACAGGCACTCACATGGGGGCACGCGGTAGCGTAGTTGGTTGAGGCACTATGCTACAAGCCGGTAGGTCGCGGATTCAGGTCCCGATGAGGTCATTGCATTTTTTCAATTGACCTAATCCCTCCAGCCACACTATGGCCCTGGGGTCGACTAAGCCTCTAACAGAAATGAGTACCGAGAATTAATTATATAATTTGCCACCATTTTTGAGCCGATTGTCTAGATCAGGGGTCTCCAAACTTTTCGAACCGCGGGCCACATTGGGTAATTCAGCACTTTCAACGGGCCGGATAACTTGAGAAATTAATAACTCTAGGTATATGAGTTTTATTGAAAGCACATAATTTCATAAACTAAATACAAAGTACGTGGGAATAAATTAACGTATATTAATGACAACAGACAGTAGCAGCAAATGCTCATATTTTCATCACAAATTATAATAAAACAATTAATGTGAATGATGAAACTCTTTTTGCATTCTTAAAATC